GCCACGTTATATGGTTTTGTATGCAATGGTGCACAAAACCACAGGACCCTTCTTGGCCTTCAATTTTTAAAGAATGCTGGCGATGTGACCCTCTCACATATCGAACATGATGGCCTAGAAATCTACAATTGGCACATCAAACCAGGCCAAGAACTATTCTACCCCTTCCCTTCCGAAAACCTCCCGCTTAACATCATCGATCACCAAATCGGTGATGGACACCACTATTGTATGCCCGGGGGAATTCCACCACACTTTGCACCCCCAGAAAATGAGGCGGGGGACAATGAAGCCGCCAATGAACAGCCTGCCCTTGAAGCACCACCCATCATTCCTGAACAACCTCGCCCACAACCCCATGCTCATCAATACTCTCCATTTGAGCAAGAATTGCTAAACAACATGAATGCTCTCAACCTCAATTACACCCAACTTCGGGAGGAAGTCGGGCTGTACAGAAATGAGCAAAGGCACAGCTTCGAGAGGATTGAAGAACAAAGGCGAGACGATTGGCGCCGATATGAAGAAGATCAAAGGAGGACTTTTGGGCCAATCTACTCCTATATCACGCATCAGGGAAACTTCACCTCCATGACCACTCCTCCTCCGGCACCTTCATGGTACAGCCCCACTGAATGGGGTTATTTTGGTGGCTCAACCTCTAGTGGTGGAGGCGGGGAAGACGGATACAGCGGGGATCATATGGACGAGGATACACAGTACAGAGGCTATGGAGGAGTTTTCGATGGCGGAGATGCGGGCGGGCACTAGGGACTGTGCCACGGACTAGTGGTGGGGGAGATCTTCCCGGTATGTTCACATTCACACTCTTTATTCTTGTTATCTCTTCAAAAAAAACAAATAATAAAAATAAAATAAAATAAACGAAAGCTTGTTAAGTTGAAAACCCACAAAGGGCAGCTTAAGCAAAAATAAAGCAAAAATAGGAGTGAGTTTGTGAGATAAAAAAAAGAAAATAAAAAAAAAATGTGGGAAGCTGGGTTGAAAACCTGAAAGGGCACCTAGGCAAAATGAGAGAATGAGAGAAAGTTATTTCTTTTGATTTTGCAGGATCCTGAGGGCGAGTACTATAGAGAGTTCGGATTGAAATTGAAGACCCATCTTTACTCTTTTGATTTTGGAGACGCTTTATGTTTTTTGTGGATGTTGGTGTTGCTACTCTTGTCAATTAAGGACCCCTTGGACAGAATATGTTTTACTCGAGACTAGTAAAAATTCAAGTGTGGGGGTGTTTGATATGCACTAGTTTATAGTGCATAAACGTGTGTTTTTATGTTGATTGAGTGTGGATTTTCCATCACTTTTAGTTAGTTTGTAAGTACTTGTTTTATTTTGTTTTTAATTGTTCTCTCCTTTTTCGGAGTTTTAGAATAGTGATAGAGTTTGTAGCAAGGAAAAAGGGAGAAAAACTGAAGACAAAAAGACCCAGGAGCACAAAAACCCGACCGGGTCAGACCTTGAACCCGGTCGGGTCAGTTGAGGAACAGATCTAAGAAGGAAAAGTAAGACCCGGTCGGGTCCCATACCCGACCCGGTCGGGTCCCATACCCGACCCGGTCGGGTCAGACATGACCCGGAACACCGGAACATGCTGAAGATCACAAAGATTTGGAAAAAATCTGATTTAGACCAAACCCGGTCGGGTCCCTCACTTGACCCGGTCGGGTCTGACTTGACCCGGACAAATTAACGTGCTGGAACAATGAAACGTGGGAGATTATCTGATTTTGACCGGTACCCGGTCGGGTATGTACCTATACTCGGTCGGGTACCCGGCCAAAGGTGTTGAAAAACACCTATAAATAGCACACTTTTTCTTCACAAAAAAATCATCCCTTCTTCCATACTCTTTAGCTCAGTTTAGAATAGCATTTCTTTATATTTTTCTAGCTATGTTTAGCCTCCAAATGAGGAGCTAAACTTCCATTCTTGGTTTTGCTCTTGAAGCTTATTGATTATTAAAGTTGTGAGTTATTTTCTTAACTTCTTCTCTTGATTATTAATTCTTCCCTTAATCTCATTCTATATTAATGTTGGAGGGTTGCTAAGTGACGATTAGTTAACGTTCCGACATTAATTACTACTAGAAATGATCAACGAACCGATGGTTAATCGTTGGTGGTTTCACAAGTAAGTAACTTCGGTTTATTAATGCACGGTCGTGGTTAATAGACTTAAGAGGGATCAATTTTGTTGGTTAAACCGAAACCGTTGTGTTAAGGTTATCAATCTCAATTGATTTCATCAAGGAGTTAAAAAGATTGAATGCTACTATTATATCGGTATAAGGCGTTGTTCTATATTTGATTAATAGTAAGGGTTATTAATGAACGGTCGTTGTTAATAACTACCCTCGATGAATTGGAGATACTCCTCGATTGAGTATTCGAAAGGGGATAAGTTATAGATATAACAAGGATCGACTAAAATATATCAACAAGTGGAAAGTAGCAAAGCCAAGTCCCTTTTATTCTTGAAATTAAACACATATAGGTTGTTCATCTTAGTTTCTTAATTGAATTAAATCACTCAAAACCAAAACCCCCCTTTTTATTACTAGTTTCATAGAAAGAGAATTATACCTTTCCCTGTGGATACGAACTCTACTACACTATACTACGTATAAGTGTTTAGTATTGAATTTATTTTGACGCACCGTGACAAAGTGCTCGTCAACTGCCATTCACTTCATCTATGTCTTTTACGTCTAGACCGTTTGAAATAATTCATAGTGATATTTGGACTTCACCTATTATCGGTAAATCTGGTCACAAATATTACGTTATTTTCATTGACGATTTCACCTAATTTATTTGGACGTTTCCCATGCAATGTAAAGTTCTAACCCTTTCTATTTTTTCTCGGTTTCATTCTCTAATTCGAACTCAATTTGAATGTAACATTAAAATACTTCAATGCGATAACGGAAAAGAATTTGATAATTCTGCGTTTCATCAATTCGGTGAAACCCATGACATGCATTTTCGTTTTTCATGTCCACATACCTCCCCCCAAAATGGTAAAGCTGAACGCTCTATTCGTACAATTCACAATATTGCACGCACTTTACTATTGCATGCCTCTGTCCCCCCCCCCCCCCCCCCCCACATATTGGCCTCACGCCGTCCATATGGCCACATACTTACACAATATTCTCCCATGTGCATCTATTTCATTCCTCACGCCAACCGACCTTCTTTATCATAAACACCCTATGTATTTTCACTTACGTGTATTCGGTTGTTTATGTTATCCTCCCTTACCCCCTTCCATCATAAATAAACTCCAAGCTCGTAGCACCCCATGTGTATTTATGAGTTTTTCATCTAATCACAAAGGATATATTTGTCTTAATTTTTCAACTAACAAATTCATCATCTCACGACATATGAACTTTGATGAGCATACCTTCCCATTCAAAAATCATGCACCACATACATCCACAAAGCCCCTAGACCCCAACCATACGTATTACCGACTTTATCCCTTAATGTCCATCCCTTCAACCCCATTTCATGCCACCCAGCAGCCCAATAATACTACTCCATCCCCATACACCTCCCCTTCTAATAATACTCCCTCCCCACATACTGCTTCCGTGTCCAACCAATTCCCCCATTCATCACATGCCGCCTCCCACCCGAGCACACCCAATGACTACACGTAGTCAAGCCGGTGTTTTCAAGCCCACCAAAATATTCAACCTTAGCCATTCCCTCACCCCGTTCCCTATACCTAAATCACCCATCGAAGCCCTCAATTACCCGAACTGAAAATTGGCCATGGATGATGAATTTAGTGCATTGATTAAGAATAAGACGTGGGAGCTAGTTCCTCGTCCTCCTAATGATAATGTTATTCGTTGCATGTGGCTCTATGATACATTTGTAATTTCCATATGTATGTTTGTGTTTTTAATTAGTTTTGCTTGATCTTTACTTTGGAAATCACACACTTTTGGTGTAATAGATTAGTTTGTTAAATCCTTGTAAATAGTTTAGATTAGGTATATTCTGAGCTCAAACAGGTCTTGATCACTCAAAGTACAGTTGGTAACCCAAAAAGTGGATAGAAGGTGCAAAAAATGAAGACAAAAGAAGGATCCTGAATTTTGGTCTATACTCGGTCGAGTATCACCTATACTCGATCGGGTATTAGGTTGAAACTTCAAATCGGATCAGATCCGAAGACAAGGGAACATGCCGGGAGGAATTCGGCCACGATTAAATGTCTACACCCAATCGGGTAGACCGACATACCCGATCGGGTATGCCTTTGAGTTTTAAACAAAAATCGGTCGAGTATGGCTCAAATACCACTTTCTAAGCATACTCGACCGGGTATAAACATATACCCGATCGTGTATACCTGTGGAAAATAGCCTGAAACCGATCGAGTATACCTCGAACCGGGTATTACACACATACTCGATCGGGTACCATGTATATACCCGATCGAGTACCCGAATCCCATCCCAAAAGCCTATAAATACACCCAATTTCCTTCACAAATGGATATCCAATTCCTTTGTACATCTAAGCTCAGTATAGAATAGTTCTTTCTTTATATTTTTCATCATGTTTAGTCTCCAAATGAGGAGCTAAACCCTTCCATCTTGGTTTTGCTACTTTGAAGCTTAATGAGTTTGTAAGTTGTGAGTTATTTTCTTTAATCTTCTTCCTTGAATATTAATTCTTCCTTTCAAATACTATTTCTATATCAAAATTGGGGAGTGTTACTAAGATGACAATTAGTTAACATCTTAACATTGGTTATAGTCATAGTTATTTCTTCCTCTATGTTAATATTGGGGAGTGTTACTAAGATGACAATTAGTTAACATCTTGATGTTAATCATAGTAGGATTCATATTCTTTAATATTCTTTCTTGAATATTAATTAATTCCTATTTGATGGATTGTAGGGATCCAAGTATGTATAAAATGTAGAGATTTGAGCTCAAGTATTGTGGAGAAGATGAATAATAGAATGATAATGAATTTAGATCTGGGGTTTACAAGCTCCAAAAGGAGTATAAATAGAGGAATAACGGGTCGGGCCGCCAATATGGGCCCGGTAGCCCAACTACATAAAAGACTAATCTAGTATACAAATGACATATAAGCAGTACATTAATACAAATGATATCCGTAAGATGTGTGTTTGCCGCTGTCCGGGCCCAATAGTCGTGAGACCCGGGAGTCCGAGTCTATATACTCTATCAGGAGTCCCCCACTCTCTGAGTCGAGAGTATTCGAGGCGAAAGAGAGTAGAACTGTGTGCTGATCTGTCGCCGTCTGGTGAGTAAACTTCGTGGACAAAAATTTGAATTTCTGCTTCTTTGGTTAACGGAGGCGCTAAGTCCCCCGCTCTTCCAGTCCCCCACTCCTTGAGGCGAGTGTAATGAGGTGAAGAGGAGTAGAGTAATGAGTGTCGGATGATGTCTTCAACAGGGGGCCGAGGGTTGACACCTTTTGATCCACGATGGGGAGATGCCTCGTTAAAAACCTCATTAGGAAAAACCCTGTGGGAAAAAATCCTAATGAGGGAAAAAGAGTACACCGGATGCCCCCAAAATGAAACAAAAGGTGCGAGCCCTTCGGCCTGGAGATGGAGCTGCAGCGGTGCCCGTCTGCTGGATGGTCGAGGCCGATCTCCAGATGTGGGTAGCTCATCATGATCAGTAGTCCTAGTCATCAAATAAAGATGACTAAGGGATGGGTCGAGCGACCGTCCACAATATGATGCCTGGTTCATCAAATAAAGATGACCAGAACGTAAGGCCGATGGGCCGAGAGGCCTATACGAGAGCTCCACGTCGTCAAATAAAGACGATTGGGCGATGTGTGCGGCCGAGGGGCCTGCATAAGAGCTCCACGTCGTCAAATAAAGACGACGGGGCGATGGTGCGGCCGAGGGGCCTGCATAAGAGCTCCACGTCGTCAAATAAAGACGACGGGGCGATGGTGTGGCCGAGGGGCCTGCATAAGAGCTCCACGTCGTCAAATAAAGACGTCGGGGCGATGGTGCGGCCGAGGGGCCTGCATAAGAGTTCCACGTCGTCAAATAAAGACGACGGGGCGATGGTGCGGCCGAGGGGCCTGCATAAGAGCTCCACGTCGTCAAATAAAGACGACGGGGCGATGGTGTGGCCGAGGGGCCTGCATAAGAGCTCCACGTCGTCAAATAAAGATGACGGGGTGATGTATGGCTGAGAGAGGCCTATATGAGAGCGCCATGTCATCAAATAAAGATGACAGAGCGAGATATGGCCGATGGGCCTGTAAATGAGCTTCACGTCATCAAATAAAGATGACGAGGCGATATATGCCCGATGGGCCTGCAACTGAGCTTCGCGTCATCAAATAAAGATGACGCAGCAAGATGTGGCTCAGAGGCCTACAAATGAGTTCCTCATTATCAAATAAAGATGACAGAACGATATATGGCCGATGGTCCTGTAGATGAGCCCTTCGTCATTAAATAAAGATGACAGAGCGATATATGGCCGATGGGCCTACAAATGAGCTCTTCATCATCAAATAAAGATGACAGAGCGATATATGGCCGATGGGCCTACAAATGAGCTCTTCATCATCAAATAAAGATGACAGAGCGATATATGGCCGATGGGCCTACAAATGAGCTCTTCATCATCAAATAAAGATGACAGAGCGATATATGGCCGATGGGCCTACAAATGAGCTCTTCATCATCAAATAAAGATGACAGAGCGATATATGGCTGAACTCTGGGCTCCTTTAGCCTTTCGGCCGGAGACCGCAAGATGTTCGCTGTATCTGAATAAGGGGGCGAGGCGGTGGACACCTGTCTGAATATGAGGACGACGACGCTGATGAGTCGGTCCGAATATGAGGACGACAGCGCTGACGAACCGGTCCGAATATGGGGACGATGGCGCTAGTGAGCCAGTCCGAATATGGGGACGAGGCGATGATAAGCCATGCGTCGTATGAAGGCGACGGTCACCATCCAGGAAGGGAATGGCGAGCCTGGTCGCTAGATAAGGACTTCGGCGCTGGGGCCGGTCTAAATGTGAGGACGAGGCAATGATGAGCCGTGCGTCATATAGGAGCGACGGCCGCCGTCCGGGAAGGGATGGTGAGCCAATCGCTATAACAAGACTTCGGCGCTGGGAGCCGGTCTTGAGATAAATAATCACGTCGCGGCCGAGAGGCTGATCGCGATGTGCGGATGACAATGATGAGGAATCAGTCCGAAATATGATGACGAGGCGATGATGGAGCCGATCATCATATAGAGGCGATAGTCACCATCCAGGAGGGGATGGCGAGCCTGATCGCTAGCCCAACACACTCGGCGCTGAGGAAGCCGGTGTTGGGATAGGGTGTGACGCCGTGGCCGAGGGGCCGATCGTGATGCGAGGTCGTCAGCACTATGAGGCTGATCCAAAAGTCCAAGCAGCGGTCGCCATCCGATGAAGGAATGACTGAGACCAGTCTTGGGGATAGATAATCACGTCGAGGCCGAGGGGCCGATCGTGATGTGCGGACGGAGATGATGAGCCGATCCGATAATATGATGACGAGGCAAGAATGAAGCCAATCGTCATATAAGGGCGATGGTCACCATCCAGGAAGGGATGGCGAGCCCGACCGCTAGCTCAAGACTCTCGGCGCTGAGGAAGCCGGTCTTGAGATAGATAGTCACGCCGAGGCCGAGGGGCCGGTCGTGATGCGCGGATGGCGATGAAAAGAGCCAATCCGAAATATGATGACAGGGCAATGATGAGCCGGCCGTCAGATAGAGGCGATGGTCACCATCCAGGAAGGGATGGTGAGCCCAGTCGCTAGCTCAAGATCGCGTTGAGACCGAGGGGTCTGCCGCGATGTGAGCATGACGGCGATGATGAGCCGTTCCAATAAATGATGACGAGGCCATGATGGGCCAATCGTCATATAAAGGCAACGGTCACCATCCAGGAAGGGATGGTGAGCCCGATCGCCAGCTCAAGACTCTCGGCGCTGAGGAAGCCGGTCTTGAGATAGATAATCACGCCGAGGCCGAGGGGCCGGGAATGATGTGAGGACGACGGCGATGAGGGGTCGGTCCAAAAATCTATGCAACGGTCGTCACTCGGTAAAGAAATGACTAAGACCGGTCTCGAGATAAATAATCACGTCGAGGCCGAGGGGGCCGGTCGTGATATGAGGACGAAAACGATGAGGAGTCGATCCAAATAATGATGACGAGACGATGGTGAAGCCGATCGTCATATAGAGGCGATGGTCACCATCCGGGAAGGGATGGCGAGCCCGATCGCTGGCTCAAGACTCGCGGCGCTGAGGAAGCCGGTCTTGAGATAGATGATCACGCCGAGGCCGAGGGGCCGGTCATGATATGAGGACGACGACGATGAGGAGTCGGTCCAAATAATGATGACGAGGCGATGGTGAAGCCGATCGTCATATAGAGGCGATGGTCACCATCCGGGAAGGGATGGCGAGCCCGATCGCTGGCTCAAGACTTGCGGCGCTGAGGAAGCCGGTCTTGAGATAGATAATCACGCTGAGGCCGAGGGGCCGGCCGTGATGTGAGGACAACGGCGATGAGGAGTTGGTCCTATAATATGATGACGAGGCGCTGATGAAGCCGATCATCATATAAAGGCGATGGTCACCATCCGGGAAGGGATGGTGAGCCCGATCGCTGGCTCTAGACTCGCGGCGCTGAGGAAGCTGGTCTTGAGATAGATAATCACACCGAGGCCGAGGGGCCGGTCGTGATGTGAGGACAACGGCGATGAGGAGCTAGTCCTATAATATGATGACGAGGCGCTGATGAAGCCGATCGTCATATAAAGGCGATGGTCACCATCCGGGAAGGGATGGCGAGCCCGATCGCTGGCTCAAGACTCGTGGCGCTGAGGAAGCCGATCTTGAGATGATGGACGGCGCTGGGCGCTCGTCTGAGATGATGGACGGCGCTGGGCGCTCGTCTGAGATGATGGACGGCGCTGGGCGCTCGTCTGAGATGATGGACGGCGCTGGGCGCTCGTCTGAGATGATGGACGGCGCTGGGCGCTCGTCTGAAAATGAGGGACGGCGCTGGGCGCTCGTCTGAAAATGAGGGACGGCGCTGGGCGCTCGTCTAAAACATGAGGGACGGCGCTGGGCGCTCGTCTAAGAATGAGGGACGGCGCTGGGCGCTCGTCTAAAAAATGACGGACGGCGCTGGGCGCTCGTCTAAGAATGAAGGACGGCGCTGAGCGCTCGTCTAAGATGAGGGACGGCGTTGGGCGCTCGTCTAAGAATGAAGGACGGCGCTGGGCGCTCGTCTGAAAATGAGGGACGGCGCTGGGCGTTCGTCTACAAATGGAGGACGGCGCTGGGCACTCGTCTAAGATGATGGACGGCGCTGGGCGCTCATCTAAGATGATGGACGACGGCGCTGGGCGCTCGTCTAAGAATGAAGGACGGCGCAGGGCGCTCGTCTAAGAATGAAGGACGGCGCAGGGCGCTCGTCTAAGATGAGGGACGGCGCTGGGCACTCGTCTAAGATGAGGGACGGCGCTAGGTGCTCGTCTAAGAATGAAGGACGACGCAGGGCGCTCGTCTAAGATGAGGGACGGCGCTGGGCGCTCGTCTAAGAATGAAGGACGGCGCTGGGCACTCGTCTGAAAATGAGGGACGGCGCTGGGCGCTCTTCTAAGAATGAAGGACGGTGCAGGGTGCTCGTCTAAGATGAGGGACGGCGCTGGGCGCTCGTCTAAGATGAAGGACGACACTGGGCGCTCGTCTGAAAATGAGGGACGGCGTTGGGCGCTCGTCTACAAATGGAGGACGGCGCTGGGCGCTCGTCTAAGATGATGGACGGCGCTGGGCGCTCGTCTAAGATGAGGGACGACGCTGGGCGCTCGTCTAAGAATGAAGGACGGCGCAGGGCGCTCGTCTAAGATGAGGGACGGCGCTGGGCGCTCGTCTAAGAATGAAGGACGGCGCAGGGCGCTCGTCTAAGATGAGGGACGGCGCTGGGCGCTCGTCTAAGATGAGGGACGGCGCTGGGCGCTCGTCTAAGAATGAAGGACGGCGCAGGGCGCTCGTCTAAGATGAGGGACGGCGCTGGGCGCTCGTCTAAGATGAGGGACGGCGCTGGGCGCTCGTTTAAGATGAAGGACGGCGCTGGGCGCTCATCTGAAAATGAGGGACGGCGCTGGGCGCTCATCTAAGAATGATGGACGGCGCTGGGCACTCGTCTACGATGAGGGACGGCGCTGGGCGCTCGTCTAGTATTTGCCTGATATGTACTTAGTATTGTTGTGGGGATTTCATTTTTCATTGCTCGAGGCCGGCAAGTGCGCGCGATCCTCGGCTTCCCTCTTTTATTTTTTCTTTTTCCTTTTTTTTTATTTCCGCTTCCGTTCCCTATTTCGGGGAGTATCCTTCTTTCAGGCTTCGGCCGAAGGGTGTGCTCGTCCTTCGGCCGGTTCGGACTTCGCTTATATCATCCATGATCTCAGGGGGGTCCCGTCGTCTATTTATGACGCGGGCTAGACTTTTGGTTGGTTTCCAACGGCTGCCGTTGCCCAACCCTGAGTGGGGGGATTTTGCCACCTCGGCCATGATTTCAGGCCTGTCGTCCTGCGATCTGGCGCGTGGACGACGCAGTGAACTTCCCATTTCAAGACGCGGGCTGTTTGCGGGCCCCTCGTCCTGGGGACATCGTCGGCCATACCTGAGCGTTTCACTCTAGGCTTATGGGGCCAGGACGACGTGCTCTCTCAGCTAGGCCTGAGCCCTTCACTGATACAAAATACAAAGTGGAGCAGACCTGAGCCTTTCGCTCGAAGGCTGCTGATACGACATGTGGTATCTTCTATTTATATTTCCAAAAAATAAGCGGAATACAATAGGTGCGTTGTTCATGGCAACGGCTTTTGGGCGACGTGATTAGCGTCTCGGAGAACGAGGTGTACCGTCTACCGCTCTCGGGCATAATTCCATGTGCGGCCGGTAGCGGCTCTCATTTTTAGATGCCCGAGTCATCAAATAAAGGTGACTAGGGTAGGTCGATGGACCTAAATATAATCCGAATCATCAAATAAAGATGTTCGGTAGACTAGAGCTCGGGTTCACCACTTTGGGTTTTTTTGACCCGGTCTAATGGCATTGATAAAAATAATAACGCCAATAATAAATTTTCATTAGCGACCTCGGGAAATTTTAATTCCTCATAAAGGTCTTCACCACCTCGGGGGTTTTTAACCCGCCATAATGGTGGTGGAAATAATATAATTAATAATACTACTATACCTTAATAAATATTTTAAGTGTATAAATAGGAGTATTAGGCACTTAGCTCTTATTGGAATAGGGCTGAAGTAATGGGCCTGTGTAGATCTTTTATTCCTTATTGAACAACCGACCCATCTTTTTGACCTAGCCCATTATAATCCGCTGCAACAGCTTTCCCCCTTAGTTTGGCAAGTGGGAAGCCTTCATTGGCTAAGACCAAGTGCTCAATCATGCCACTACTGTAAATCGTCCAGCTACTGAGTATTCCTCAGGCGGAGGCTGGTGCATTCCTCAGCTCCAGGCTTAGACCAAAGTGGACCCGAAGGTAGCATGATTTGACCGGGAGTAGGCTCACTGGAGTTCCGGTAGCGCCGACGAATCTTCTTCAGCTCCGGCGACGTCTGATACACCTTTCGAGTTGGGTCATCGAGTTCGGGTCAGCAGGGGAGTTCCAACCTGTTTATTACTGGAGCTCTTAGGGGCCATTAATGGTGGATATTGAAGGTCCATTCTCCAGTCCGGTTCAGGCTCCAACCGTCGGGCCTCGAAGACGACCAGATACGACGCCAGCGGGTGTCAAGTGCAGTGAGCTGCAGCGGGTGGCGCGAGACAGCTTTGGCTTAGACCTGGGAACTGGTGGGGAGTTTCTCCGGCCATGGCGGGTGGCGGCAACGGGAACGGCGAGGACGTCTCCTGCTTAGCTCTGGGAAATCTCCCAGACCCCAAATTCCAGTTTCTTCATTCCTTTTTTATTTTTCAGAACAATTTTTGGTTGATTTTTTGTGATTTGGATGAATTTTTTGTATGTTTTGGGAGGATTTCTCACTTGATTTTGCTCTAATCTCTCAATGAAAGCACCATTGATGGATTGTAGGGATCCAAGTATGTATAAAATGTAGAGATTTGAGCTCAAGTATTGTGGAGAAGATGAATAATAGAATGATAATGAATTTAGATCTGGGGTTTACAAGCTCCAAAAAGAGTATAAATAGAGGAATAACGGGCCGGGCCGCCAATATGGGCCCGGTAGCCCAACTACATAAAAGACTAATCTAGTATACAAATGACATATAAGCAGTACAATAATACAAATGATATCCGTAAGATGTGTGGGGGCCGCTGTCCGGGCCCAATAGTCGTGAGACCCGGGGGTCCGAGTCTATATACTCTATCACTATTCATATTTGACATGCCAAAATGTGTAGTGTGAAATGATGTAAAAATGTGAATGAAAATGATGTTTTAATTGGCTTGTAACGATATAGTATAGAGTAAGTGAGTATCGTTCCGCTAGAGAATGACTCAAAAAGAGAACTAGAATTAACAATTGATTTTTAGCTAATCACAAATTAATAACATTTTGCAATGGAGCTAAGTGAACAGATTTTTTTTATCTCGTTTTTGTCAATGCGGAATTGCTAGAGTAAAATAAATCACAATACTTGGTAATTTAACAATTAATGATATAGAGAAAATTATGCTTGGGCTAAGAGTAATTTTATTTTGATGTTCATAATAATAAAGATTTAACTAATTAACTTAGTTACTTTTAGGTGTGTGAAAGATTTACAAATGGTAATCTTCTAATCGTTCCCACGACTTAGTTGATTTCACTATCTCAAATTAATTCCGCTCCCGCGGTAATTTTATTAAGACAGTAAAAAGTACAAAATCAAATTATCCTAAATTCCTTAACACTTCCGTGTAGCAATTTAGTGGGTGAATTAACAAAATGGATTTTAACGAAATTTCACTTCCGTGAATCCGTGATAATATTCATTTCCCAATATAATGTATTTAGCAGATTAGAATATTCAACCCAACACTCCTAAAATTAACCAAGTAATAGTTTTAACCAATTATTATCGTATGAACATTAACAATAAAAATTACATCTTGCCCAAACCTAACTAATTTAGTTACACATAATTACGGTAAACGAAATAAAAGTAAAACTAATGATAGGCATAATTAATTTAACAGATTAAAGAAAATAAAATGAGTATTTGAATAAGAACCTGATGGCATAAATAATGAGATGAAATAGAGAAAGTAAAATCCTTAAGCTGAGAATGATTCTGGCTGATACTTCCCAAATGAACTTGATTGTTGAAATTAAAGAACTAAAATTCTGGAAATGAAAATTACGAACTGAAATTTACAGAAAGTGTTCTTGACATAATCACTTTTATTATATGACTACTACTATGAACAAAACTAAAGAAAAGAGGAAGAAGATTTCTCTCCGAATTGGTGTGTCTTGTAGCTCTTGGATGACCCTTTATATAGTAGTAGGAAAAGGGGCTAAAGCATAAAAATTCTGAAATGAAGATGTTGATAAGTAATTATTTTGCTATGATATTACTCTTGTCTTCATCAGATGCGATTGCGAGGTTCTCAATTTCTTTGTGTGAATAGTGCCACTCCTGTTCTGTTGTATTTCTTTTCTTCGTTGCTATCTTGTTGCTGCTGTTCTCGGTGATGGTCGACTGGAGCGAAGAAGTTGATTCTGATTTTAGTTGCTTCGTAGGTCCCTCCACTCCAATCAATGAAATGCATTTGCACTTCATTATTTTTCCTTCTTGAGAGCTTGTACGTGGATGAAATTTCACTCATAATAAGGAGTGAACAGTACATGTCAGCCAAAGTTTTGGCTCTTATCCGCTTGCATTATTTGGCCGGTTAGCTATTTGATCAGTTAACTGGTCAACGGTTAACCGGTACATTTTAATGCGGACAGTCTGATTTATTCTGAAGTATATTTTGGGTTTCTTGATAAAATATTACAGAGTTAAAGTAAGGATCCGCTTCACTTTGATTATTTTTCCGTCTTCACTCGGGAGTAATATTTATTTTTTTCAGAAATTAATTTACGCCCCAAATTGTCCTGAAATTAAAAAATATACCAAAACAAGTGCAATACCTTAAAATGTCCAAGATGATAAAAATCATCCTTTTATTTTAAAATGAGAAATAAAATATTAAAAGTGTGACAAAAAAAGATCATAAATATGGTAAATTAGGAGTACATCAACTCCCCCATACTTAAGATTTTGCTTGTCCTCAAGCAAAAATATTTACATTCACACAAACAAGCAAACAAAAATGAATTGCCAAATCATATGTATAATTCTCAAAACATGCACACTTTCCTTTCACTCCACCTGATCAATCAAATTTCCTTGACTTGTCTCAAAATAAGAGTAGTGAGAATCATAAAAATATTTTGCATATCATCTGAAACGTTTTGGTCAAATCTCAACTCTAACAAGCACAAAGTGTGTGGTGCGCAAATGATATCTAGCTTCGTTTGTTCAACCATGCAAAATTTATGCAAAATAAGATTTTCCTATCAACTTATTTCAGACAAAACAAAATTAGAATCAATTAGGACTTTTTACATTGGGTTATAATGGGGTCTGTGGGAAAAGGCTTATGAACAAAGGGAGTTAATGAGGAAACAAAAGAAATGAACTTGACATAAATTTAACAAATTTAAAGAGGTACTAAGTAGTGTGTAGGAGCTTTTGGCAATAATCTATATAACACTTGTTATTTTCAACAGTTAGGGGTAGTAAAAAGAGTAATTTAATGTACAAGAAAAATATACAAAAGAGAGAAGCATATACATTGACATTTAGCCTTGTTCACTTTTTTCTTCTTCTTTTTATCATGTTTTTTATATTTTCTTTTTTTCTTTTTTTTTTCTTTTTCAATTTTTTTTTTGATTTTTTTTCAAGGCTTATTTCATGCTTCTAAGAGTAAGAATTTACAAGAATAATATGTACAATGATGATACAACAAGAACAACTACCCCTGTAAATGAATATTAACAACTAAGTAATCACAAAAGTGTAAATGAAGCTCCCTTAAGGTGAATGACACTCTCTAAACTCATTAAAATTTAATCAAGTTCATTTTAGGGTGGATGGATAGTGATTGGCTTTTAGGCTAAGGGTCACATATAACAGGTTTTCATGAAAGAAAATAACAAAAATAGGGTTAAGCGTATAACGCTTATTAAAATAAATGGCTCAAAGGGGTGAACAAGGATATTTATCACATGGGTAAGGCTAGGTATATGGGTTTTTGAAAAATGGCCTATATCATTTCCTAATGTGCTAAGTTAGAAAATCATGTCAAGGAAAATAAAAGCACATAGCACGCTTGTTTTGCACAATCTAAAACATATTGAACAACAATTTCACTAGATAACCATTTATGTGCATGAGATGTTTTGTGTCTGTACAAAGTTTAAAATTTGACAAAAAATTTTACTCAATGCTCAAAAATTATGATTCTCAATCCAATTATTAAGAGACAAGTCCCGCCAACAATCCACATACCATGTGAAAGAATAGAATGCATTATTCGAAAGTTAAACACATGATAAGGCAATTCACAAGCAAACAAACAAACATGCGTATTCTCCCCCCACACTTAGGATGAAACATCGTCCTCGATGTGACAAATATATACAGGGCGGGTGAGTAAATGGGTGGGGAAAAAAATTCATGCAATGCAAACACACAAACAAAACACACATACAAATGCTAGGAAATAAACTTGGGTTGCCTCCCAAGAAGCGCTATTTTTAACGTCGTGTGCCCGACATTACCTGAGTGTTTTACTCGTAAGGAGGATTGTCCAGATCAACAGTGAGTTTCTCCTTTGTGTCATCTCCTTCATGATATTGCTTAACTCTTTGGCCATTGACAGTAAATTGCCTCCCATCATTTCCCTCCAGAATGATTGCCCCGGATGGATAGGCTTTGATAACTTTGAAAGGTCCAGACCATTTTGATTTCAGCTTTCCTGGAAAGAGTTTTAGCCTTGTGTTGAATAGTAGCACACTATCTCCAGGGGAAAAGTCTTTCCTAAGGATTCTCCCATCGTGCCATTTCTTTGCTCTTTCCTTGTAGAGTCGGGCATTCTCAAAGGCATCAATTCTGAATTCTTCAAGTTCATTCAGTTGTAACAACCTCTTTTGCCCCGCCAGAGTGGAGTCAAGGTTTAGGCTTTGGATAGCCCAATATGCTTTATGTTCAATCTCCACTGGTAAGTGACAAGACTTCCCATACACCAATTTGAACGGTGATGTGCCAATAGGAGTCTTATATGGAGTACGATAGGCCCATAAAGCATCATCAAGTCGGAGGGACCAATCTTTCCTTGTGGGATTGACAACTTTCTCAAGGACTGATTTGATTTCCCTATTTGAGAGTTCAACTTGGCCACTAGTTTGTGCATGGTACGGAGTAGACACTTTGTGATTAACACCATACTTGAGCAAAAGTTTCTCAAGTTGCTTATTGCCGAAGTGTGTACCATTATCTGTGATGAAGGCCCTCGGAACTCCAAACCTTGAGAAAATAAATTTCTTCACAAAGCGGATCACAACCTTGGAATCATTTGTTGGACTAGCAATCGCTTCAATCCATTTTGAAACATAGTCCACAGCCACAAGAATGTAAGAATTGCCACATGAGCTAGGAAATGGTCCCATAAAGTCCATTCCCCATACATCAAAGAGTTCAACTTCAAGTATTCCGGATTGTGGCATTTCATTTCGGCGACCAATAGATCCTGTGCGTTGGCATCGATCACATCTTTTCACGTACATTTGAGAATCTTTGAACAATGTAGGCCAATAGAAACCTGACTGTAGGACTTTAGCTGACGTCCTTGTGGATCCGAAATGACCACCATATGGTGATGAATGACAATGATAAAGGATAGCCTCAAACTCATCTTCTGGAATGCATCTTCGAACAATTCCATCAGCACATCTCTTGAACAATAGTGGTTCATCCCAAAAATAAGAGCGAGCATCATGTAAGAACTTTTTCTTTTGGGACCACGAGAATTTGGAAGGAATATAACCACTGACCAGGTAATTAACCCAATCAGCATACCAAGGAGAAAAGTGCTTGACAGAGAGCAAATATTCTCCCGTGAATGAATCATCAATGGGTAATTCTTTGGTCGCTTTTTTTTCTGTGTGTGACTCAATTCTGGACAGGTGATTAGCGATGACATTTTCAGACCCCTTTTTGTCAAGGATCTCGATGTCAAACTCTTGCAGTAGCAACACCCATCTAATAAGTCGTGGCTTGGCCTCCTTCTTTGCAAACAGGTACTTAGAGTTGAGTGATCAGTGTAAACTATCACTTTGCTTCCAACAAGATATGACCTGAACTTCTCTATGGCAAAGACAACTGCGAGTAGCTCTTTTTCTGTTGTGGCATAGTTTTGTTGAGCATCATCGAGAGTATGACATGCATAATAAATTGCATGTATGCAACGACCTTGTTTCTGTCCCAACATGGCTCCTACAGCATAATCACTGGCGTCACACATTAGGATGAAAGGCATGCTCCAATCTGGTGGTTGAATGACAGGTGCAGAACATAATGCTTTCTTAATTTTACAAAAAGAATTAAGACAAGCATCATCAAAGATAAATTCAACCTCTTTGGATAGGAGTCTTGTGAGTGGTTTTGCAATATTAGCAAAATCCTTGATGAATCGCCGATAGAATCCAGCGTGCCCTAAAAAGCTTCGGATGCCTTTAACAGATGTTGGCGGTGGTAACTTCTCGATCACTTCAATCTTTGCTGGATCTACCTCAATGCCTTTGGATGAAATCTTATGCCCAAGAACAATTCCTTCTGTTACCATGAAATGGCACTTCTCCCAGTTTAGGACAAGATTTGCCTCTTGGCAACGAGACAATGCTTTATCAAGATTATCCAAGCACGAGTCGAATGAGGTCCCATAGACAGAGAAATCATCCATGAATACCTCCATGATTTCTTCAATAAGATCAGAGAATATAGCCATCATACACCGTTGGAAAGTTCCGGGTGCATTACATAAGCCAAATGACATTCTTCGAAAAGCAAATGTACCATAGGCACATGTGAAGGTAGTCTTTTCTTGATCATCTGGATGGATCATGATTTGAAAATATCCTGAGAATCCATCGAGAAAGCAATAATGGCTATGGTTTGCCATCCTCTCAAGTAGCTGATCAATGAAAGGTAAAGGATAATGATCCTTATTTGTGACTTTGTTAAGCTTCCTGTAATCGATGCACATTCTCCATCCCGTGACCAAGCGAGTAGGAATGAGCTCATTATGCTCATTTGGAACAACTGTGAAACCTCCTTTCTTTGGTACAACATGGATTGGACATACCCATCTACTGTCCGAGATAGGGTAAATGATACCAGCATCAAGAAGTTTGATAACTTCTTTCTTCACAACATCCTTCATGTTAGGATTAAGTCTCCTTTGATGTTCAACAACTGGTTTGCATCCTTCCTCAAGATAAATTCTGTGCATACAATAGTTAGCACTGATGCCAATTAGATCATCGATGGAGTATCCAATGATCTGTTTGTGCTTTCTCAATAGGACCAATAGCTTGTCTACTTCCTCCTCATTCAATTTAGTGCTAATAATCACTGGGTAAGTAGAGTTTTCACCAAGGTAAGCATATATTAGGTGTGATGGTAAAGGCTTCAACTCAACTTTGGGTGGTTCTTTTGTGCTATTAGTCTCCCTCACTTCTTCTCTCTCCAGTTTGTCCACTTCCCCCCCCCCCCTCCTCATGATTTTTTTCACAACTCTCTTTGTTTTTTACACGCTCAACTAACTCTTCTCCCTCATGATTTTTTTCAATTTCCTCCACAGCATAAGCTTCCATAGGATCATTGTGAAAGAATCCCATGAAGTCTCTCACACATTCATCAACTATATCAACCCTCCAACAATCTTCCACACATGAAGGATTTCTCGCCATTTGGAAAATATTGAACTCAACCCTTTCATCCCCCACTTCAATTATTAACGTACCTTTTTTAACATCAATGATGGCACCAGTAGTGGCCAAGAAAGGCCTTCCTAATATGACAGGTACTCGCTCATCTTCATCCATGTCTAGGAAGACAAAGTCACAAGGGATGAAATATTTCCCAACTTGTACAGGAATGTCTTCTAGAATACCAACAGGGTGCTTAAAAGATCGGTCAGCAAGCTGAATGGTCATCGAAGTAGCTTTGGGAATACCAAGACTAAGTCGTTTGCTCATAGAATAAGGGATAAGGCTAACACTAGCCCCAAGGTCACACAAAGCTTTGTTGACCACGAACCCTCCAATAATGCATGGAATAGTAAAGCTACCTGGATCCTTCAATTTTTCTGGAAGTTTCTTTTGAATAAGAGCACTGGATCCCTCGCTCATTGCTACGGTAGCTTTCTCTTCAAACTTCTTTTTGTTTGACAGAATTTCCTTCAGAAATTTGGAATATGAAGGCATATGTTTTAGAGCATCAAGAAGTGGAATTGTTGTGTTAAGTTGTCCGATCCATTTGAGGAATTTATCCCTCCTCTCATCAATTGTGTTCTTCTTTGCTCTGTAAGGAAATGGTAAAGGTGGAACATATGGTTGAATTACCTTTTTCGTGCCCTCTTGTGTTGGAAAATTGAGACCTTCTTCGTTACTCTCCTTTGGTGGTGATGTCTCTTTTTCAGTTATCTTTTCTTTTTCAACTACAAGTGGAGGATCAGAAAGTTGTTTTCCACTCCTAGTAGTTATTGCATTGACATTCTCCTTGGGATGTTCAGAGTAGGCAGGCAATTTGCCTTGAGCTTTGCTAGTAGATGGTGAAGCAAAACTAGCAATCTGGCTCTCAAGCATTTTGTTGTGAGCTTGAATTTGATTGAGTTGAGTGGTGAGTTGAGAAAATTGATTAGTAATACCTTGCATCATCTGTTGGAAATCATTAACTCCAACAAATTGTTGTTATTGTTGAGGAGGTGATGAAAATTGTTGTTGTGGTGGGTACCCTTGAGGATTTTGATACCCTTGATTTCCCCTCAATTGTTGGTTGTTTTGGTTTCCTCCTCCGAATCCTTGTTGATTTTGAAATCCAGGAGGTGTTGGTTTGGATGGAAAAGATGAATTTGATGCACCTGATGGGTTGCTCCATGAAAATCCCGGATGTGTCTTCCCTTGAGGGTTATAGTTTCCTTGATATGGTACTTGAGGTCTACCATATATAGCTTCAGCTTGTTCTACTGTGGGGCCAGAAGGAACATTTTGTGTAAGTTCAAGAAGATTGCATTCCTTAAAAGAATGTCCTCCTCCACAGAGTTCACAGAACAAAACTTGAGCTAAAGATGATGATGGATTTGTTGATGTGCTAGAAGTTGATGATGATTGTTTCTCCGTGAGCTTTTGAACCATGGTTGTGAGAGAATCAACCTTTGCCGTTAAAACTGTTGTTTGGTCGACCTCATAAATTCCCGCTCCTAGTTTTTGAGTGGATCTTTCAAAATACCATGATGCACTGTTGTTACAAATTTTCTCAAGCATCTCTTTGCCTGTTTCAGGATCAAGCTCCATGAAAGCTCCATTAGCAGAGGCATCCACAACAATTTTGGAATTATCATGTAATCCTTCATAAAATGAGACAATGAGATCACCCATGCTCATATTATGATGTGGATATTGAACTTGAAGGTCTTTAAATCTCTTCCATGATTCGTAAAGAGATTCTGATGGATGTTGCCTGAATTGCTAGATAAGTTTCTTCATTTTTGATGCCTTGGAAGGAGGATAGAACTTCTTCATGAATTCTCGATGCAACTTCTCCCATGTGTTGAAATAACCGGATGGTTTAGAGTTCAACCAACTCAATGCTTCATCCCTCAGTGAGAATGGGAACAATCTGAGTCTGATAGCATCAACAGAGGCTCCATTAAGTTTAAGAGTTTGGAGAACTCTCAAGAATTGTTTCACATGGCTCGTCGGATCTTCACTCTTTGATCCGCCAAATTTGTTGGCTGAGACCAATGAGATAAGTGCTGGTTTGATCTCAAAATTTGCTGCATCCACACCTGGATAGAGAATACTGTCTTGTTCCTCAATTTCACCTGCAACATAATCAAGAAGTCTTCTCCCTTGCTGTTATCTCATGAATTGCCCTTGATCTTGTTGATTATGTGGGTGTTGGTAGTATTGGCCATATGGGTGAGGTTGGTATGGGTGCATAAATGGAGGAGGTGGGTAAGGATATGGGCAAGTGTATGGATATGGAGGAGGAGGTTGGTTTTGGTGATTTTGGTAGGGATGTGGTGGATAAATTTGGGGTTGTGTTTGGGGAGGAATTTGTTGGAAATTTTCAAATCCTGGTGGTCTTTGATCTCCAAAGAAAGGATTATGTCTATCTCTAGGAGTATCAACGGGTGTATTTTGAGGTGGCGTAGGATTTGGATTTGGAATTAGGTTTTGGCCATTTGGATTATTGGGATTGTTTTGAAAATCCTCCATGATCAGATCTGGAATTTTAAGTTCAAGGGTTCGTGCTTTTCTTCTTTTCCTTAATTCTTTTTCAGAATCAAGGTTAAGTGGTTGCAATCCTTCACTCCCTTGAGAGCGAGTATGCATACACCTTTTTAAGAGTTTTTTTTAGTGCACGAGAAATGATTTTCTTTTTGTTTTTTTTTACGAAAGTGATGAGAACAGGTAAAAAAAATACTTAGTCTCCAGATAAATAATAACAAACACTAATATTAACTAATAATCAATCAATAACACTATGCCATTCCCCGACAACGACGCAAAAATCGTGACATGCCAAAATGTGTAGTGTGAAATGATGTAAAAATGTGAATGGAAATGATGTTTTAATTGGCTTGTAACGATATAGTATAGAGTAAGTGAGTATCGTTCCGCTAGAGAATGGCTCAAAAAGAGAACTAGAATTAACGATTGATTTTTAGCTAATCACAAATTAATAACATTTTGCAATGGAGCTAAGTGAACAGATTTTTTTAATCTCGTTTTTGTCAATGCGGAATTGCTAGAGTAAAATAAATCACAATACTTGGTAATTTAACAATTAATGATATAGAGAAAATTAGGCTTGGGCTAAGAGTAATTTTATTTTGATGTTCATAATAATAAAGATTTAACTAATTAACTTAGTTACTTTTAGGTGTGTGAAAGATTTACAAATGGTAATCTTCTAATCGTTCCCACGACTTAGTTGATCACACTATCTCAAATTAATTCCGCTCACGCGGTAATTTTATTAAGACAGTAAAAAGTACAAAATCAAATTATCCTAAATTCCTTAACACTTCCGTGTAGCAATTTAGTGGGTGAATTAACAAAATGGATTTTAACGAAATTTCACTCCCGTGATAATATTCATTTCCCAATATAATGTATTTAGCAGATTAGAATATTCAACCCAACACTCCTAAAATTAACCAAGTAATAGTTTTAACCAATTATTATCGTATGAACATTAATAATAAAAATTACATCTTGCCCAAACCTAACTAATTTAGTTACACATAATTACAGTAAACGAAATAAAAGTAAAACTAATGATAGGCATAATTAATTTAACAGATTAAAGAAAATAAAATGAGTATTTGAATAAGAACCTGATGGCATAAATAATGAGATGGAATAGAGAAAGTAAAATCCTTAAGCTGAGAATGATTCTGGCTGATACTTCCCAAATGAACTTGATTGTTGAAATTAAAGAACTAAAATTCTGGAAATGAAAATTACGAACTGAAATTTACAGAAAGTGTTCTTGACAGAATCACTTTTATTATATGACTACTACTATGAACAAAGCTAAAGAAAAGAGGAAGAAGATTTCTCTCCGAATTGGTGTGTCTTGCAGCTCTTGGATGACCCTTTATATAGTAGTAGGAAAAGGGGCTAAAGCATAAAAATTCTGAAATGAAGATGTTGACAAGTAATTATTTTGCTATGATATTACTTCGGTCTTCATCATATGCAATTGCCAGGTTCTCAATTTCTTTGTGTGAATAGTGCCACTCCTGTTCTGTTGTATTTCTTTTCTTCGTTGCTATCTTGTTGTTGCTGTTCTCGGTGATGGTCGACTGGAGCGAAGAAGTTGATTCTGATTTTAGTTGCTTCGTAGGTCCCTCCACTCCAATCAATGAAATGCATTTGCACTTCATTATTTTTCCTTCTTGAGAGCTTGTACGTGGATGAAATTTCACTCATAATAAGGAGTGAACAGTACATGTCAGCCAAAGTTTTGGCTCTTATCCGCTTGCATTATTTGGCCGGTTAGCTATTTGATCAGTTAACTGGTCAACGGTTAACCGGTACATTTTAATGCGGACAGTCTGATTTATTCTGAAGTATATTTCGGGTTTCTTGATAAAATATTCCAGAGGTAAAGTAAGGATCCGCTTCACTTTGATTATTTTTCCGTCTTCACTCGGGAGTAATATTTATTTTTTTTCAGAAATTAATTTACGCCCCAAATTGTCCTGAAATTAAAAAATATACCAAAACAAGTGCAATACCTTAAAATGTCCAAGATGATAAAAATCAATCCTTTTTATTTAGAAATGAGAAATAAAATATTAAAAGTGTGACAAAAAAAGATCATAAATATGGTAAATTAGGAGTACATCAATATTTCATGTTAATATTTTAAACATTACTTAAAGTATCAACTAGTTTTGTTTCTCATATTAATTATTACTAAAATCAATCGGTTAATACGCTTGTTATTAATCCGGTTCTTTCAACGGTAGTAAACTTGGAATAGTAATGCATGCATCTCATGGTTAATATGCCAAGGGGAATTAATTATATTGATTAAACCAATAAACCGTTTGTGTTGAGGTTATCAATCTCAATCGTTTTCATCTTAAGTTTATTGCTACTATCAAGTTAATATACGGCGCTTGTTCTATATTGACTCGATAGTAAGTTTTATTAATGAACGCATCTCGTTATTAATAACTACCCTCGATGAACTGGATATACTCCTCGATTGAGTATTCGAGAGGAAGATAGTTAAAGATATAACCGGGATCGACGAACATTTCATTAAGTGGATAAAAGCAAAACCAAGCCTCCACGTCTATTAATTAAACTCATATAGGTTGTTTATCTTAGTGTTAATTGAATTAAATCAAATCAAACTGAAAATCCCCCCTTGTTACTATTTATATAAAAGAAAAGTATTCATTTCCCTGTGGATACGAACCTTACTTCACTATACTACGTATTAGTGCTGTATTGATAAATTATTTTGAGTGCACCTCACGACAAGTGCACGTCAAATTTGGCGTCGTTGCCGGGGATTGGCAATTAATTTTTCTTTTATTTCATTTCAAGAAAAAAAAAATATTAAACAAAAATATAAAGAGTGTTTATTTCTCTATTTCTGAGCTTTGAGTATATGGTTAAACATCGATCATGCGGCTATTAGGTTCTTGATGACAAAGAAGGAGGCCAAACCACGGCTGATTCGATGGATACTACTCCTGAGCGAGTTTGATGTTGAGATCAAGGACAAGAAAAGCATGGAGAACTTGGTGGCCGATCACTTGAGCCGTTTGGTCCTTGATGAAGGAAACAATCATGTCAAAGATGATATCCGAGGAGAATTTCCCGATGAGACCCTCTTCTCTCTTAAGGAAATTCGTCCTTGGTACGCTCATATTGTTAATTTCCTTGTTCTAAACAGGTTTCCACCAAGCTTCTCTAAAGCTCAAAGAGAGAAACTCCAACATGATGCAAAGCAATACGTATGGGATGAACCATATTTATGGAAACATTGTAAAGATCAGGTCATTCGAAGGTGCATTCCCGAAACAGAAATTGCATCCATTCTTGCTTTTTGTCAGTCACATGCATGTGGTGGCCACTTTGGAGGGAAACGAACATCCATGAAGGTACTTGAATGCGGTTTTTGGTGGCCAAGCTTATTTCGAGATGCCCATGTCTATTGTCAATCTTGTGATAATTGCCAACACATGGGCAACATCTCTCGAAACATGAGATGCCACAAGTTCCTATGCTCTACGTGGAGATCTTTGATGTGTGGGGAATAGATTTCATGAGACCTTTTCCTAATTCCCATGGAAATCTATATATTCTATTGGCGATAGACTACGTATCCAAGTGGGTGGAAGCAAAAGCCACAAAGACCGATGATGCCAAAGTGGTGACTGGATTCCTCAAAACCCGCATCTTCTCAAGGTTTGGAGTCCCACGCATCTTGATAAGCGATAGAGGCACTCACTTCTACAACAAAACTGTGAGTGCCTTGTTGAAAAAATATGGCGTCACACATAAACTCTCCACCGCCTACCACCCACAGACAAACGGTCAAGCCGAGGTATCAAACAGAGAGCTGAAGTCTATTCTTCAAAAGACAGTAAATCCAAACCGTAAGGACTGGAGCCTACGCATGGATGATGCCTTATGGGCATACAGAACCGCTTTCAAAACCCCAATTGGAATGTCACCCTATAGACTCGTGTTCGGTAAGGCCTGTCATCTTCCGGTCGAACTAGAACACAAGTCTTATTGGGCGGTAAAAACATTCAATCTCGACATGACAAAAGCGGGAGAGCAAAGGAGGTTACAACTCCAAGAACTAGAGGAGCTTCGATTGGAGTCCTATGAGAATGCCGCCATCTACAAGGAAAAGGCGAAGGTATGGCATGACAAAATGATAATAAGAAAGGATTTCCAAGTTGGAGACAAAGTCCTTCTTTTTCTCTCACGCCTTCGCCTTTTCCCCGGGAAATTGAGATCACGATGGGAAGGACCATTCGAGGTGGTCAAAGTCTACACCCATGGAGCAGTTGAAATAAAAAGCCTCGACACCGGAAAAATCCTCAAGGTTAATGGACATCAACTCAAACCATTCCTTGAAGGTTTCCCAAAAGAAAGCGTTGAATGCATGGATCTCATCGATATAATCTTTGAAGAATGAACACAACCATGGCGTCGTGCCGCGACGTTAACTAAGGCGCTTCTTGGGAGGCAACTCAAGCAAGGTACATTTTTGTTTATTTTGTTGTTAACTCCCCTGACAAATTTTCAGTTCTATTTTTGCGAGGTTGAGAGAGAGGGGCACTAATCACAGGTTTTTGGAAAAAGAAAAAAAAATTGCAAGGTTTGGAGCATTTGGGGACATACCCGATCGAGTGCCACCTTATACTCGATCGGGTATGGCCAAAAGAAGGGGAACCGGGCATTACTCGATCGAAGAAGTATTCAATTTTTTTGAAAGAAACATGCATACTCGATCAGGTATCACTATATACCCGGTCGAGTGTGTACAGAAAGTCGAAGTTCAAGGGAAACTGATGCCCACATTCGATCGAGTACAGGGCTCGAAAATTGAAAAACAAGGGATACCCGATCGGGTATCACTATACACCCGGTCGGGTATGTATAGAAAGGCTAAGGTTGAAGAAAGCTGACTCCCACACTCGACCAAGTACAGGTCTCAAAACATAGAAAAGAACACATACCCGATCGAGTATTGTATTATACCTGATCGGGTACCAGAGGCAGACCACTCAACAATATGGGTTTCCAGCGATACTCGACCGGGTAACAACACATACCCGATCGGGTACCGGAGGCAGGCTGCTCAAAAATCCCAGTTTCCAGCCATACCCGACCGAGTAACAACACATACTCGATCGGGTATACAGTCGTTTTAACCCCAAATCCGCCCCAAACACTTCATCTTCCCCAAACTCACAAACCCAATTTCGAACCCCTCTCCCCCAACCTCCATTTTTAACACTTCTCTCTACCATATCTTCTCCATTTCCTCACCAAATCACCCCATTCCAACACCAAAATACTCCCCTCATCTTCCTCTACACACCCATACCCACCAATCCAACTTTCCTCCAGTTTCAAGAGGTCCGAAAAAAACCCTACCCCAACTTTCAATTTTAGGATTTCAAGCTAAAAATCACCCAAAAATGGCACCAAGGAAGGAAAAAGGGCAGAGCTCCAACACTAGGGCATCCATCCCAGGCTACGAGGACATCATCTTCGCCGACAACGAACACCGAACCCGCTTCATCTCCACAATTGAAAGGCAAGTAAAACCCTCCCGTTTTTTATGCCATGATGCCCTCAATGAGTTAGGTGTATATAAACGCACTAGGAAATTTTTTCATGAGTTGAGCATGGATAGTATATTCAAAATGCAATATCACTCCAATGAAAAAATAATCTATGAATTCATGAGTTCGGTGCAATTTGAGATCGATGAAGCTAGTTTTAGGGATGATAAACTCAAGTTTCGTCTGTTCAACCACAACCACTCCATAACGAAACTTGAGTTCGCCGAACATTGTGGTATTCCGGTCCCTTACCAAAAATCCATATCCGATAATACCGCTTTCGGCCATACCCTGTGGACAAAGATGACCGGGGAGACAAAATTTAGCTCCTCCCAACTGTATATTAGTCATGTCCAACATCTCGTCCTCCGTCTATTCTTGAAATTCCTTGCCAATTGCTTGCTTGGACGTCCCAACAACCATCACACTAGGATGGGGGATGTATGCCTAATGTCTGTGGCCCTATTCCGTGTTCACGTGGATTTCAATCTGTGTAATCTTATGTGGACACATCTGAAAAAGGAAAGTGTAGCCAAGGGTGCTATTGTGGTGGGTGGGGTGATTATGCACTTAGCCACAAAGTTCGGGTATACGGATAACTCTCCTATACCCGACTACTGTTTGATGAACATCTCTTGGTTGGGCCATTCGGGATGTACAGCCTTTTCCCACACAGTTTATGGTGGAGAAAGACCAAAGAATATGTATAACTGGCCCATACACCCCAAACCTCTCAAATACTTCCCCCTACCCAACCAAGAACTCCCCAAACTCCACTACAGAGAAGCAGTAGAGGAGCCCCATTACCTCTTCCCACACGCCCTTCCGCCACATCTCCAGGAACCGGAGCAAGAACTTCCCCAATACCAACCCAATTACGAGCCCTATGCTCAACCCCATAGCCATCAAGACATGGGCAATGACATCCCCGAACAAAACCAAAACCCTCCACCACCCGACTTCTTTCAACAACTTTTGGAGGGTCAACAACAATTGCTTACGGGGTACACTCAAATGAACGCGAACTACATGGCTATGGACAACCGGCTCAACCAAATACAGGAGGAGCAAAGGGCCGATTTTCAGCGATTGGAGGAGCTCCGGGAAGTCGATAGGCATCGATATGAAGAAGACCAACGTAGGTTCTACGGACCTATGTACTCTTACATGGCACAACAGGGATCTTTTCATACCATGGCAAACCCCCCTCCACCACCCTCGTGG